CTTTTAGTCATTTTTCAGGTGTGTCTGACTCTCTGGGACCCCATTTGGGGTTTTCTTGTCAAGTATACTGGAATGGTTTGCTATTTCCTTCTCCAGCTCATTTTACAGATGAAGAAACTGAGGCAAATAGAATTAAATGACTTGCCCAGGGTCACACAGTTGGCAAGTGTCAGACCAGATTTGAACTCAGGTCTTTCTAATTCCAAGCCCAGCTCTCTATCCATTGCACCACCTAGCTGCCCCTTTGATTTATAATAGGGTACTGGCATAACTAAGAGGCAACACAGGCAATGTGACCTCATAAGCCCTCAATAACTGATGGCTTCTAATCTAATTGTGTCATGGACCATAGATGAAGGAAAGATGAGCCTGAGAGGGAAGCGGATAAATGAGGATTTGGCAAAATCATCATTGGCTTATGCTCCTTCTGCCTCTGACTTGCTCTGCTCCCAGCCTGAGCAAGCCAGTAAAGTTCGTGAGTCACTCTCCTCATCTCTAATAGGAGACGGCTAGTCCAAGACAGTTCCCAATTGCTAGCCTGCAGTAAAATTTTGCTACTCCTTTAACACCTTCAAGCTTATGAGGTAGACTTCTCTATTCCTTCTTCCTCTGATTGGCTCCCTTTTCTGCTCCCTTGCCCTGACTATTTCCTTCTCTCTGGCTTCCTCTCCTAGTCCCCTTGTCCCCTCAGCGAGCTCTCTACCCTGCTGCTGGGGCTGTGGAGGGTCAGAGCTTTCCTTTCTATACAAGATTTAGACACCTTATTGATGCTTAGGATAGTTTCTGTTAGGAAGCACTAAATGAGAGGTCTAGTGGTCTTTTCCAGCTTTTAAAACCGAATGAGTTTAGGATGCCTGTTTTTGCCTGACCTAGAAAGGCAGGGTCCTCATGACCTTCATCAGCTCTCATCAACCCCTTGTGAAAACTCAGGGCACAATATTTTTCAGGGTCTCTCATCTTAGCATGTACCCATGGGGCTCCATGGGTCACTTTTTTTTTTTACTGAATAGATCCTATAGGTAAACTATTTACCCATTTACTGTCTCTTCTGCTCTTTTGAAAAACTGTGTCCTAGTTAATCACAACCTGACCACATCGTTCAATTTAGACTTTTTTCTCAAATTATCTTTTCCTTACTATTGATAAAGATTGTTGCTCTCTATTTTGTGTGTTTTCTTGGCTTTATAAAATTATAATCATATGATTCTGGAAAATCTCTCCCTGGGTGATGGGAGGGCAGTGTGTGTGTGTGTGTGTGTGTGTGTGTGTGTGTGTAAAAGAATGAATGAAAAAGCATTTATGAAGCACTTACTATGTGACAAACACTGTGCTAAGCACTTGGGATAAAAATAGAAAAAGAAAGTTCCTCATGCTCTAATTTGGGGAGACAACAAACAAAAGAAAATTCAGCTGCAGGGAAAATGAAAAGCCCCCTACATCCTAATGGTGTAATGATGGGAAGATGTGGAGATCCAAAGGTCCTCAGATTATATAAATATATACATGACAGTGTCAGAGGACTGCAGAATGTTGAGGTAGGGTATTTGGCAATGCCTGATGGTCCTTCAGTCATCAAAGGGAATACACTTCTTGTTTCTGATCTTTTCCAAGCCCTGTGAGAAGATAAACAGCCCAAAGAAGGGAAAGAGGGAAGGAGGGAAAGGGAGTAAGGTGTTGTAGTGGTGATGGGACTTCTCACCTGCCAGGATGAATTTTGAGAAAGCCTTGGAGCTGGTAAGAGGAGAGGCTGATAAGAATAAAAAAACCTTTAGGGAGATCTCACACCCTGAGGAAGTAAGTGGAGCTGATCATCTGAGAGAAAGTGAGATAGAATCAGAAATCATCTTCTTACCTCAATTTTCATAGAAATAAAAGGGAAGCTTAGAGAGCTTAAGCAATGTACCCAAGGCCACATAGTAAGCTAAAGGGCAAAGACTTGAATGCTTGACTCTTGCCAATGGCATATTCATTCACTGGGTTTGGAGTTCTGAAGGGGAGCTGAAATCTAGGGACAGGATCAGAAACTTAGTAGCAGGATCAAGACAGGCCATGGAATGACCTTTGAAACAGAAGAGGAGGCAGATAGTCTGTGTTTGTTTGGCTTTAGGTGAGAAAAGTCTGGATGTCATGTGGGTGGGGGAGGATTGGGCTGAAGTCCAGGGAAATGCTTTTCTCAAGTCAGGGAATTCACATTCAGAGGAAAGGAGAATTTCACAGAAGCTGATGACAAAGGAATCTGACAGATTGATCTCATACTAACCCAGAGGAGCTTTGCTAAGGCAAGTTAAAAAAAGTTTCAGAAATAAACTAAGAGAAGTTGTTACCTCTATGATGCTCTTTGTAGCTCCCATCTGGCTCTAACATCCTGCCTTGGATGCTCATTGCTGGAGAATTTGCCTCATTCAGGCTCTCCTCACTGTAAGAGTGTAACCTTTTTGAAGGTAGAGATGATAGCATATTTACATTCCCATGGCACCTAAGAAAGTGCCTTATATGTAGTCATAGGATCACAGAGACAGTCCAGAGTAAGGAAGAAAGGAAAGGAGCATTTATAAAGCTCCTACTATGTGTCAGACACTGTGCTAAGCACTTTACAAATATCTCATTTGATCTTCATAACAACTCTGGGAGGTAGGTGCTATTATTATCCTCATTTTGCAGTCCATGAAACTGAGGCAGACAGAGGTTAAATTACTTGCCCGGGATCACACAGCTAGTAAATGACTGAGACTGGATTTGAACTCAAAGCCTTCTGAACCCCAGTCCAATGCTCTATCTGCTGTGCCACCTAATTGCCTTTAAAAAATCTCAAAGGACATCTAGACCAACCTTCCACTCCAATCCAAAATTCTTTCTAAAATATTCTAATGGTTAGTCAGGTGCTCTTTCCAAAAAGGATTTTGTTACCTCAGGAAGCAGTCCAAATTCCCTGCCTAATTATGTCCGATTATGATAGCTCCAAATATTCTACACTGAACCCTGGGCAGGAAGTAGTTTTAAAGTTGAGGAGGAGCTGTGCTGTACTGAAAATTTATTTATACCACGCTCTTTGTTTCCTGTCTCTATCACATATATAGATGGATCCTGGTACAATGGAAAGAGCACTGCCTTTAGAGTTAAAGGGTCTGAATTCAAATCCTGCTTTTGATACTTTCTACCTACATGATTTCCCCTACTCCATAACATAAAAAAAGATTGCACATGAAACTGCAAATCTATTATGTACAGCTTGCTATTCCTTTTAAATATATAATAAAGGTATATAAATTTATTTTTTTCCCTTTTTTCTTCCCCCCCCCCAGAGATGGCTATCATTAGACACAAATATGTGTATGTGTGTGTATATGTTTACACACATATACATATATATGATATATACACACACAAATATATCTATATGTAAAATCATTCTATCCATTCTTCTGTTCTTTGGATTCAGATAGCGTTTTCCTTCATATGTCCTTTGTAGTTAATTTTGATATTTATGATAGTCAAAATGACTTATTTGCTCAAAGTCATTCTTAAAACAATATTGTGGTTACTGTATCCAATGTTCTATTGGGTTCTGCTCATTTTGCTCTTCCTTATTTTATGCAAGTATATCCATATTTTTTTAAGATCAAAGTATAGCACAGTAGTATTCCATCACAATCATATACCACAACTTGTTCAGTCATTCCCCAATTGATGGGCATCCCTGGAATTTCCACTTCTTTGCCACCACAAAGAGAGCTGCTATAAACATTTTAGAACACAGAGGTTCTTTAAAGTTGGTGAAGCACTTTCTTCACAACAACCCTTTGAGGCATATGGTATAATATCATTATCCCCATTTAACAAATGAGGAGTATCAGTATCTTCAGGGAACTTCTACCTCAACTGTAGGTCATTGGCAAATGACAGCTAAGCATTGTAGATGAAGCATGCACTACATGTCTCCTGCTAAGGAGGAGACAGACTTAAAATACAGAATTTTGGACATGTTTTTGTCCAGGGACATTATAGGAATTTGTTTTGCTGGATTAAGCATAGTTGTCATGAGAATTTTATTTAATTTTTTTCCCCCATTGGTCAACTAGGGAGGGGAAGCGAAAGGGAGAAATAATAAATTCATATAAAATAAATAAAATAAAAACATTTGAAGAAAAAAGAAATATATTGGCAAAACTGGATCTATAGTATTATAATCAGTAAAAATTATAACATATTGTAATACAATATATTACATATGTATTATAATTATATTTAACACAACACTATATATTACATAAACATATATTTTGCATGTATTACATAATAATGTAAATATTATGTAATATATTATATTATATTGCTATAATAATATAAAATATTTAATACGCTATATTTGTATAATGCTGCAAGTTATAAAACACCAGTAATGTTTTATTAATATAGACATTTAAAAGCATTTTACCACCTGGTAGTAGTTAGTTATTTGTTATTTCTTGAATTAGATTACTTCACAGAATTGTATGTTGAAAATAAAGAGATTTAAAATCTTTAGACAAATATATGGATGACAAAATCATACTCTGCTATTAAAGTAAACAGAAATGTTTTGGATTATGTTTCTAATTCCTAATTTATGAAACTGATGCCACGTCATGGATTTTCATTACAAATGCATCATTTAGTGCTTCAGGTGGTGACAGAAAACAAGGGTCTCCTTTACCTCCTTAACTAAATAAAACCTTCTTGTTCCTACGTCACAGCTGAAGTCGTCCTGCCCTCTAGTGGCTACTCCTAACCTAGCACTGTTTTTCAAACATCTTGTGAGGAGGGAGAAGAATGTGAATGCAGATAGACCACTAGTAGAGAACAGGCATAAAATACATCTCTCCCTCTTCCACTTTCCCATTAGGGTTCACATCCTTTCTTTTGTATAAACAGAAACCTCTGCTTTTCCCTTTCTGTCCATATAATAGAGACAAGTAAGTATAAGACTTCCAAGGATTCAGAATCCTCTGCTAACTTGTTACCTTTACTGCAGATTGCTCTCTTTGTCGAGTCCTCACATTTGCGAAAGCGGTACTACAAGACAAAAAGAAAATATATTTAAAGAAAATACAATAAAGACGAATATTTCGGTCACAGTTATCTTTTATATAATATTTTAATATCAATATAATACAATTTAATATTATAATTTAATACTAATAATAAAATATAAAGATAATATAATATTAATATAATAAAATATACATTAAAATATTTATATAATACTTTAAGATTTGCAAAGTGTTTTACAAATATTATCTCATTTGATCCTGACTTTAAAACTTGGGGGAGGTAGAGTGAGAAAACGGGGATAGGCAGGGGTTAAATGACTTGCCCAAGGCCATACAGCTGGTAAGAAGTATCTGAGGTCACATTTGAACTCTGGTTTTTCTGACTCAGGTCTAGCATTTCATCCATTGCTCCACCTAGCTGCCTCATGAAAATGTCTGCTCACACTGAAGAATAATGAAAATACTGAAGATACAAGCTCTACCTGCTCCATATGTCAGATCTGAAAACAAATGGGTTACATCAGTTTTTGTGATGGTGAAACTTTTATTTTTAGAAGAAATTAAAGTCAAATCAAGTCCAGAATTCAAATTGTCAACATTTATTAAATGCTATTTATGTTCCAGGCACTACGCTAAACATTGGAACACAAAGAAAGGCAAAAAACAGACCTATCCCTCAAGGACCTCAAAATTTAATGAGGGAAACAACATGCAAACCACTTTGTAAAGAGAAGCAGGCTCCTGTGTTATCATTTTTAGGTATCATCCTTCTCTTTAGCCCAGAGAGGCAGCATGGTATATACAGAAGAATACAGTAATTAATATGCCAGATTTTTATTTACTAATTATGTGAGCTTGGAGAAGTAATTTGACCTCTGGACTTCTGTATCCTCATCTGTAAAATGAAGATACTTGTGCAACATTTAGTCAGTTAATCAAAAATTGATTGATGAACAGAGAAGATGCACACTTGTATTGGTGGAGGGTGTCTCTTTGCTTGGCAGTTCCATATACACCAATAAAGTCACAAGACCAGTTTCTGTCCCTGCTATGTTCTAGACTGTGTTCCAAGTGCTGAGAATACAAAGAAATAGCAAAACTATCTTTGCCCTCAAGGAGCTTATGTACATACGTCCTTTTTTTCTTAAAATTTTATCTTTATTCATTTCTTTTGTTTTTATATCCCAGTAATTTATTAAAAAATTAAAAATCATTATTATTTATTTTCTATTTCCCACTTCCCACCCCCACCCCTCATTAAAAAAAAAAAAAACAAAGGAAGAAAAGGAAACCCATAGCATAACCGATATGCTATGACCAGAAATTCTGGGTCTTGAATTGGAAACTTACAGAATTGAGGAGAACATAAGGTTTAAAACACAGTATATGTTGTTTATTTACTAAACAGTTCTGTGCTGGGTAAAGACAACTATATGAGGTATCTAAGCATATTTGTCTGCTTCTATGGATATTCACTGGATTTTACTGGAGAAAGAAATGGCAAACCACTCCAGTATCTTTGCCAAGAAAACCCCCATGGGCAGCATTGGCATGCTATGGTCCACGAGGTCATGAAGAATTGGACACAACTAAATGACTGAACAACAATAACAAATGGAAATTTGACATCATTATGCAAAGATCATGTATCTATTGACCAATGAACTATACCAAGATAGAAAGGAGGAAGAGTTCTCCAATGAGCATGGACATAAGTGCTTGTTTCTGATTGGCTAATTCCACAAGTCCCTACAACTCCTTCACTAAGAATTGGAACTACCTTGCACAGAGAGGTAGAATTAAGTGATAGAAGGTCATTTGCTCTTTGAAAACAAGAGCTTGGCATTCACTCAGCATTTCTACCCTCAAGGGATGTGTAAACTGCCAGGGATAGTGTGGGACCTTGGATTCAGAATAATTTTCTGGACAGGATCCTCTAAGTGCCATCTGGTGGTTAGATACATTCCCCTTAGCTCCAGGAAACAATTGAGTAGTGGACTCAGTAATTTTAAGATGTTTCAGTGAGATAAACTGTAAGCATCTTGACAAATTCTATATAGATAGTGGCAGAAGACCACTGAAAAATGAGACCTCAGGAGGCACTTGGCATGATAGATTCCCATTGGTGAGTCCTCCCAGAGCCTCCACTTAAAAGAAGGGCTATGCTACATTCTCTGCACTTGGCCACCGAGTGGCAGATTTCTTCTCCCTCTGTCCCTTCAGCCCCCTACTTCCATTGTTGAGTTCTTCCCAGAGCCTTTATTTCGAGAAAGGGTCCAGACCAGCCATTCTTCACTCTCTGGATTTTCCTACTACATCTCTTCATGAGTACCTTCCTTCTCCACACCCTCCCCTTCTCTTCAGCTTCTTTTATGTTCTGTGTCTTTCTCCATTAGAATGTAAGTTTCATATGGGTAGGTGTTATTTTGCTCGAGTGACCCCTTCCCCTCTTGGATGTACTGTTGGGGAAATTGATTGGTCATACTCCAGGGAAGAAAAGTCAAGCTATGTGTGGGCACAAAGACCCCTCAGATCACTAAGTTTCCTGTTACTTTGCCCTTGAATGGACTCCTAAGCAATGATGTAGTGGTAAATATTTAACAACTGACTCTGGGGTGGGTGAGTGGGAATGTATTCATAATACATTTTAAAACTTAATCTGTACTATTAATATTTTCTCCATCACTTTCTTTAGTTTATAAACCATCAAAATAATAAAATAAAAATAAATCAATAAATCAAGCCCTGATATGTAACATTTGTCAATTTCTGAGGTGCAAAAGCTCAACCTGAAAATTTAATAATCACCTCTTGAGAACATGTTTGAGCTGGCTTCAGGAAACCCCTATTTCTAAGGCATCATTCCATTCTCTCCATGCTTGCTGATGGGGTAGGCAGCCCTTGCTGGCTGTTTGCTGTTGTCTGTTTTCTGCTTGAATATGATTATTGCTGCTGATAAAGCCCAAGCTGGGTATGGCAAAGGATAAGTTGGAACAGATCCTGGAGAGCTGCAGTGGTGGAATGGAGATGAGACCCAGGGGTAGTGGTGATAAGAGACAGATCCTAACACCTTGTTACTTCCCCTCTTTCTTCTGTTTTCAGAGCTAATCTATAGGTTTGGTGTGGGAGTAGGGGTAGTGGGGGCATGGAGGTGATGTGATTGGGGAAATAATTGCTTCACATTTTTGCAATGTGACAATTCCTATAGAAGTTTCCAGTATGCTATGTCTTAATAAACCATGTAGTCACTGAAAACTCAAACATCTAAATCATATAAATGAGGTTTGTTAATTGACAGCAGATTCTCCAAATGTAGGGTGGGTGAAAAGAGAACAAATTGAGATTTCCCCATAATTCTGTATTTGAGTGATACTCTGTTGACCAGTGAGAGAAATTAAAGTTGCTCGGCCTTGCCCATAGTAGGAGGAGGAATAGTCTAAGAGTTTGTAGATGAGTATTCTTGTTGAACAGTAGAGACACTGTGAGAAAGTACACACATGTGCACTGGATAATCTTTGAGAAAATCACTTTGCTGGTGGCTTAAGAATAGTGCTTCCTGGTGGACAAAGTTCACATTTCACCCCCTGTTGTTAACCAAAATGAATGAATACTTTTGCTTCCTTTTCTGTAGACTTGCTGAAGAGAGAATACCAGTCAGACAAGGAAGTTATTGCTACTTTAGCACCCAGGACAGTCACTAAATGTATACATAACCTGCTCAGCTGTCATAGTTGAAGTTTTCTATGTCTTTATTTTTTGCAGCAAAAATTGGTACAGAAGCTGTAGCTGTTTTCAGGGTGATGCCTCCAGCACAATTAGGAGTTTTATATCTAACATTAGCATAACAGGTTTTTGGAGCATGCCCACATCATCTGACATGGAGGCAGTCACATGCCTGCTTCTGGAATACATTCTGCATTCTCCTACTATGTGGGTGGAAATAGCTTCTTTCTATTGACTGCATAGCCGAAACAAGCTGCATTTTTAAAATGATGATATTGGGATAAAAGCTCTCCTGGTCCTTTGATATCAGAAAGGGAAAAGGCCCAATTCACCTACAATACATGTAGGCTCCATGCACTGACCTGGTTGCAAAGGGAAGGGCTGCCTTCTTTCCTCTCCTTTTAGGCTCTGAGAAACAGACTTTGAGGTTTTAGGCATAGGTAGTGGAGTCCCTGGAACCAGGATCAAGACATGGTGATCTTGGAGGCCAGGTTCTGGGCAGATGTTGCTGCAGGCCATTAAGTAAGCCCCGAGAGGCCAGGGTACCTGGGACTTGAGCCCAAGGGGGTTTTGGACTTAGAATTTAGTGGGACTGCTATATAGGAACTGAACTAAGCTATGGATCCTTTCCCAGAGACTGAAGTGATATAGGGGGAAATTATTCATTGCCCCCCACCCTGTATTGGGGGGAATGTTTGCATGTTTCTTCTTGCTATAACTTTGAAATAAATATTCCTTTGTAAAAGCTAATCTGTTAAGTGGTTAAATGAAACTGGGTACAGGGGAACCCTATAATTCGGAGAACACCGTAAGTTGGGGCTGGACCCAATGGCAGAAAGAATGAACTCCCGCAATCTCTTTTAAGCATGTTGGAGAGCTCCGTGGAAGGGATAAAATGTAACAAACTTTGCCTTCAGGCAGGAGGGACCAAGGTAATTATTGTGACATCGGTCCTTAGGGAGCTGAAGCCCCTATTCAGTACTTTGAGACCCTTTGATAAGACCAGATAGACAGAACGCAGCCAGCCTATGCAAAATTACGAAACCAGTTCTCCCTCTGCCTCTTCCTTGGTCCTTCCTCCACTTTGGAATCTGTGGCACAGGCCTGGTCAGATGTCTTGTACTGGCCTCCTACTGCAAACCCACAAACCTCACTGCCCCCAGTTTCCCCTTCTTAAGACTTCCTTCCGCCTACTCTCTGATACTATGACGTCACTGGATGACTGCTGACTACACCAGGGCCTCAAAGGAAGGCTGGGAACAATCATTTCCACCCAGAAGAAAGATTGCATGTACAAAATTATAATTTTTTTGACATTCATCGTAGTATGAGCATGCCATCTCCTTTAAGACTCCCCCAGCTTGAAATCTCTGCATTGTTCATGGCTTCCTCCTCTGTCTGAGCTCTTTAGAATTTGTTCCTTCTGAGAAATTCTGGGTCTTGACCTGGTCTCTCTGGTTTATACTCTCACTTTCATTCTCAATGCAGGCTTTCTTTCTTCCTTCCTTCCTTCCTTTCTCTTTCTTTCTTTCTTTCTTTCTTTCTTTCTTTCTTTCTTTCTTTCT